TAAATGTTCTATTAGAGAAGCCTTATACACTTATGCATGCTCACAACCACACACAAATAGAAGCAGGGATGCTTATGTAGGCTTTATATATAGATATATAGATATGTATGTGAGTGTATATTCATGTGTATGTATGTATGTATGTATATAGGCGTAGGTATGGGTATATATATTTATGGAAACTTACTGCAAAGACATGAATATTTTAAGTTCTTTATACATATGTATTTTGTTGCTGTGTTTTGTCATGTTCTTTGCAGGTGAACAGACAGTGGCCGGGTGTTTTGCCGTGTGCTCTCTTTGTGTATATCTCTTATATTTTGGAGTCTTACTTTGTCTTTTCTTTCTTTCTATCCTATTAAAAAAAAAAAAAAAAAAACCTACACTGGATAGTCACTGCAGCACGGTGGCGCAACTGGTAGAGCTGCTGCCTCTCAGTGAGCAGGTCCTTGGTTCAAACCCCGGTCCAGGGGCCTTTCTGGGTGGAGTTTGCATGTTCTCTCCGTGCATGCGTGGGTTTTCTCCGGGTACTCCGGTTTCCTCCCACAGTCCAAAAACATGCATGTTAGGCTGATTGGTAACTCTAAATTGTCCCTAGGTGTGAATGAGAGAGTGAATGGTTGTTTGTCTCGTTTGTCTCTATGTGTCCCTGTGATGGACTTGCGACCCGTCCAGGGTGTACCCCGCCCCTCGCACAGTGATTGCTGGACATGGGCACCAGCGACCCCCGTGACCCAAAATGGAATAAGCGGGTAAAGATAATGGATGGATGGATGGATGGATGGATAGTCACTATAATAAATATTTCATAATAATGGTGTGGAGAGGATGGCTGTAAGGGGAGAAGGGAGGCCATCTATAAAAAAAAATAAAAAAAAAATAAAAAAAGAAATAGGAATGCTCTCCCATTCATGTCTAATACAGGCCTCTAACTGTTCAATCGTCTTGGGCCTTCTTTGTCGCACCTTCCTCTTTATGATGCACCAAATGTTCTCTATAGGTGAAAGATCTGGACTGCAGGCTGGCCATTTCAGTACCCGGATCCTTCTCCTACGTAGCCATGATGTTGTGATTGCTGCAGAATGTGGTCTGGCATTATCGTGTTGAAAAATGCAGGGTCTTCCCTGAAAGAGATGATGTCTAGATGGGAGCATATGTTGTTCAAGAACCTGAACATAGTTCTCTGCATTAATGGTGCCTTTCCAGACATGCAAGCTGCCCATGCCACAAGCACTCATGCAACCCCATACCATCAGTGATGCAGGCTTCTGAACGGAGCGTTGATAACAACTTGGGCTATCCTTGTCCTCTCTGGTCCAGATGACATGACGTCCCAGTGTTCGATAACGAACTTCAAATCGTGACTCATCTGACCACAGAACAGTCTTCCATTTTGCCACACTCCATTTTAAATGACCCCTGGCCCAGTGCAAACGTCTGAGCTTGTGGAGCTAGCTTAGAAATGGCTTCCTCTTTGCACTGTAGAGTTTCAGCTGGCAACGGCGGATGGCACGGTGGATTGTGTTCACTGACAATGCTTTCTGGAAGTATTCCTGAGTCCATTATGTTATTTCCTTGACAGTGGCATTCCTCTTTTTTTTAGCATAAGGTAAAAAGCAGTGGTTATTGTGCTTATTTCTGAAGGCAAGGCTTTTAATTGGGTTCTCATTCTCCACATTCTACCAGTCCTTTTTTTTTTAAACCATTTCTATTTTCAGGCCTATCCTGCATGATGTTTATAACAGAGAAAATATACTTTACCTTGGTGGCAACAGTGCGTCCGAAGAGTATTGCATAGCAGAGATTGAGGGCAGAAGAGTAGGAGAACACACGCAGCCTATTCCTGCCGTGGGGTGTCATCCCGAAGGGGCTGTTCCATTCATACAAGGTGAGGAAGAGTGCTGTGAGGTGCAATGTGACAAAAATGCCCACCCACATAGACCAATGGAGAGGCCACATAAAAGCTCCGATGGGAGCTGCAGTGTCGTGACTTCGAACCTGAAACGTCACAAATGAACAATGAGACTGGATCAAATTGTTTCTATGTGCAATTTTTTAAATAACAAAACTGTAGACATACTGTACTTTGTCTTCTTTTCTCAAATCTGTGACCACTGACATAAATACTTTAACTAATATTACATAAATTGTTTTTTACTGAGTCTTTAATAATTTGATCAAGGTACAAATATTTTTAAATAATGAAGTTATCAAATTTACATCAAGCTGATTTGCATTGTATAATTTTTATTCAGTTATTTTTTTATGTATTTTGGGAAACCCACAAACTAATTAAGGCCAAAATAATAATATTCTGTTTTATAGGATTATAATGGAAAACTGAGCAAAATAATGAGGGAGCAGACTTTTAGCTGTTACTAAAATATTAGAAGGCCTTAATGTTATTGGCTAACACCCTTGTGCCCCCTTTTCCACAACACTTGCCAACATAGAAAATATATGTAGTATTGTCAAGAGAAAGATGTGATAGACCAGAGCCAACAATTCAGAAGAGCTGAAGGCCACTATCAGAGCAACCTGGGCTCTTATAACACCTGAGCAGTTACACAGACTGATCCACTCCATGCCACGCTGCATTGCTGCAGTAATCCAGGCAAAAGGAGCAATAACTAAGTATTGATGCTGTACATGCTCATACTTTTCATGTTCATACTTTCAGTTGGCCAACATTTCTAAAAATCCTTTGTTTTTATTGGTTTTAAGTAATATTCTAATTTTCTGAGATCCTGAATTTGGGGTTTACATTAGTTGTCAGTTATAATCATTAATATTAAAGGAAATAAACATTTGAAATATATCAGTCTGTGTGTAATCACAATCAGAATAAGCTTTATTATTATTGCACTGAGATACAACGAGAGTATGTCCGTACAGTCATCCGAAAGTTGGGCTGCTACATAGCACGGCCTTCTTATCTTCTTCAGAATACATTTTTTTAGATAGAAAAAGGGACAAAGCCATGAGGAGAGGATAGGGGCATTACAAAAAAAGATCTCCTCACACCTTGTCCTAACATGACACAATTTAAGACATATGAAAACATATGCATATGTTACATATGCATTTGATGACGAGGCAGTCCATGAAGCACTAACAGATAGTTCATTGTCCTGATAAGATGATGGTCAACTGGAACAGTTCTGATAAGCCTCGGCAGAAGGGGGGGGGGGGGGGGGGATAAACAAAGCTTTTCCTTAGTTTACACATTTCCCAGGAGAAATTGATAAGTTGGCCTGTGTCGAGGCCAGCCAGGGAGTCAGATTCAGATAATCTGCAATAGCTGATTTATTCAGGCAGACTATTTAAACTTGTCAGCTTTGAGTCTTTACTGATACTTCCAAGGTCCAAAATGGCCAGATTAGGGTGCATTCTACTGGTCCGTGCTTAAGAGGCTCTTCAAGATCATTTTCATGTTGACGAGTCCCAAAGCCGCAGGTGGCCTGCGATTCAAATCACTTCCATCTTATGGTTTAGCTCATAAATCAGCTGATTTTGAGTCCTCAAAGCACAAACCAAACCTTCACATAGGCAGCAGCCTGACGAGGGCCAAATTAGCTGCGGCCATCGTCTTTTTATGTTGATCAACCAGGATCCAGACTATTCCAAAAACGGGAAACCTATTATCATAAATCCAATTATATGCATTTTGGCATCCTCGATCAACAGCAGAGGTAGACATCACATTCCACTTCCCCAGAGATATATCCAGTTGCACGTGCCATCCGAGCAGATGAGGGTTCTCCAGGAGCCTGTGACTTTGTTGAAAATACTTCGTCATTTGCATCATAAGTCCAGTTGGTCAAATCCAAAACGATAATTTTCCTTTCGGAAGATGTGTAAAAATAGGAGCTGTTCCAATACACAGACAGAGAGCAAAAAAGCAGGAGAACAGGGAAAGGGAAGATAACACGTGTGCCTCTTTACAGAGCCAGTGAGGAAAATAAATAAAGAAGAATATACAAGTTTCTTTTTTTTTTTTAATGGAATTACTGAAATAAATCAACTTTTTCATGATATTCTAATTTTATGACCAGCATCTGTATCATGAATGACTGAGTTAGTCAATTTTGAGTCTTTGATAACAGTCTATCTGTTTTAAAATGTGCTCTATAAATAAATATGACTTGACTTGACTTCTGAGGTAGCTGTGGCAGCCATCTTGAACTAAAACGGCTCCAAAATTGAATTAGTGTTTTGTTAATAAACCTCTACCACTCTAGGTCATGTGACCTTAATGTGTCAATTAAAAGAGTTCTGTCACTGTTTTCTAATGAGAAAAATGGCGTATTTGTTTGCAACTTATGTCGCCATGGTAACTCGAAATGCCAATAAAAGTAAGAGCACACATCACGGTGCCGAGCTGGTCGTTTTGAGACGCATTGTGGTTCAGGTCGCATTAAAGTTCATAGAAGAGCAAGAAACTTATCAGGTGGTGGCTGCCTTACAGGCAGCCTCCAATGACTTGATACCCATAACATCACTTAAAAAATGACTAGACTATCTCTTTAAGTTTTAATTCATATACACATTGTCTTTCCATTTGATATGGAGAAAAAAACAAATTAAAACTTCAAAAAAATAAAGTAATTATACCAGAATGCCCAGGCTGGTGGAGTAGAAAGGTGAGGTGAAATCAATGACTCTACTCCTGGCAGAGTTGATGGAGAAGGAGGTGACAGCCATGTCCGCAATTCCACTCAGCAGGTCGCCCACAAGCCCAGTCCAGCGCCCGGCCCCACTCAGTGCTCCATACTTCCCATCTCCAACAATGTAAAGGTCAAAGGTAAAGCCCATGTCTTCTGCCAGTTTCTCCAACAAGTCGATGCAGTACCCGTAGCAGCATTTTCTGAAGTCCTCTGGTAAATCTGTGAGAAAAATTATGATTATGTAAAATGTACTCATTTTGAGATTTTATATTCATGTTCTGTAACTGCATGGGCTGCACCTCAGAGAATCTGTGGGCAACACAACGATCCATAAAAAATGCTGGTGGATCATCAGACACTTCACTGTGGACATTTTTAATTACCTTGGACCCAGGTGAGAACTACATTTATTAATACTGCACAAATTATTGCTCTTTAAAATACACCACAAGGAAAACAGCCAACTGGCCATGTGAAATACACCTCATACCATTTCAATTTATTTGGCAAACATTTTTTGTAATCTCAGTAAATTGAAATCTGCAGCGTGCCAGTTCATTTTGCTCGTGTCACTTTTTCAGGCTCATGGATTGGACAAGCATATAGAAAATTTTGATAAAACTTTCTGTGCTGTTAATTTATCCAATCCCTGTAACAATTATTAAACTGAAACAATTCTTGTAGTTCACCAACAAGATTTAAAGTAAATGTTATTTCTGCTTCTTTTTGCATTGAATCATTCAAATTTATATGAGCAAGGACAGCACAATAAACAATGTTATATGATAAAAATTAAGCAACCGTTGTTTTGTACAAAGGTTTTCTAGCCACAGGCTAATTTGAAAACCCAGTCCTTGGTTGGACTTGTATATAAAAACAGCTAAAATAAAATTAAAATTTAATTACAATTAAACAATTCCCTCACACACATGCCTGCTCCTCCATCCCCATGGGGCTTAGTGTTCACAGATTTGGTTTTGTTTCAACCATTTTTTCACCTGCATAAAAGAAAAATGGCTCCTGATGTTTATTTTATACGGTCATCTCTATGTTATTAATTTATTGCATTTTACGCTCTTCATTCATGAAACTTAAATGCCGTAGCACACAGCTTTGACAAAAAAAAATTATCTACACTGACCATCAATGACTCCTTTTTAATAACAATTCAAAATTATACCTCAGTATTGAGGTGCTGTAGGGATAAGGCCAGATACAAATTACTAAATAAGCAAAAATAAGTTAAATAAGAGGAGCCCACAAGCAGTTTGGGAGCCTTGTTTAATAGAAAAATACCAAAAGAAAACTCACCAATTCCCTCCCAGTTCATTGCTGTGTGGTTAGGGCTGTGAAGCTGGTTAAAGAGGCCATTGATGATGCTGGACTTGTTGGTTTTAGGGTCCAAACAGAGTTGACCTGCTGGACACATTCCATCCTCGTCCACCTCTCGTGTGAAGACAAATGGGTGTTCCACCAGTGTCACTACCCGAAGGCGGTGTCCCTCAACAGAAAGTCCCGGCCTCCAGCGACCTCCCATGTAACTGTCACTTGAGTCATCTACTCCCTTCACACCTGCTCCCAGACCCTGACCCTGGCTGTTACCAAGCCCTCCCATCAGTCCTATGATTCCTGCCTCTAAATCCAGTTGGTCTCGTGTCCACTGTCCTACAGTAACCCAAGCTGGCTGGCCCAGAGTGCCTCTCTTCAAACTCCATACATGAAATAGCTGGGAGGAAAGAATACGGGAGACATCCACATCCACTTGAATAAGTCCTGTGGAACCAGTGAAGGAACTGTTGGACAGGAACCTCAAGGGACAGAAAAAGAAAAAATGATTACAGAAGAGAACAATGAATGAAGATGTTCATTAGTGTATTGTAGTTTATAAATGTAGACGGAAATAATTACCAGCACATTTTATGAAAGAAAATGTGCCGTTTACAAAAGCTGTCACAGATGAGAATACTACTTGTAGCATTTTAGCAAGTTTGATCTTAGATGAGATTGCATCTCTCAGACAGACATAATTAAAAGTTAATGCAGTACACTGAGGGTCTCCCTCTATCTGCATGTCTGTATAAGCAGTCATTGCTATTCATCTCACTTGTCTTGTGGTCCCAAATTGGACTTTATGGGGGAATACATTAAGCAGAGTGACTCCCACTCATACACATATCATTTGTCTCCTTAAAAGACAGAATCAAAGTTAGTTCATGTCATTGTATTTGATGTGGATGTTGTCAGATGATGTCTGTGTTGTTCACAAGTTCCTCTTTATAAGTGGAACTTAAGTTCTACTTTATTCTACAGGTGTGCAGTGGAGAGCATCCTGTGCTCCAGCATCAACGTGTGGCATGGAGGCTGCACAGCTGCAGAAAGAAAAGCTTTGCAGAGAGTGGTGAAGGCTGCACAGAAGATGTTGGAGTCAGTCTCCCCACCATCACAGACATCTACACCTCCAGATGCAGGAAGAGGGCCACCTGCATCATGAAGGACCCCACTCACCCAGCACACACACTTTTTGCCCCACTCCCCTCAGGAAGGAGGTT